TGTGTGTGTGTGTGTGTGTGTGTGTGTGTGTGTGTGTGTGTGTGTGTTCATAGCGCTCCACACCAACTATTATCAAGATTTCACACATCATTTAGCCTGGGGGGCACAGTCTATTCAGGCTGTAATGTTTAGAAAAAGCTAATGCTGTACTACAAACACAGACAGGAGAGCCAAAGGATGAGATTACTTCTCCTGCCCAAATTTCTTAATTACATCCCAGACTGAGGATTAGAAACATTTACATGTGTGTGGGGTTTATTCTTTCGTGTCAGTCAAAAACAGGCAGGATTACAACACTTGTCTCTAAAGTAAGCTTGTTATTATGAACAGCAAACAGCTCTGAGTTCACCAGCGCAATGAGAAGAGATGAGACAACTTTCAAAATGATAAATAAAGCACTGAGCAAACAGAGAAAGTCAAAAAATATGTTACCAACTCAGTAATGTTGGTGAAATCACTGAGTTATGGGAAACAAAGAAAGAGATTATGATACATAGGTTAAAGAGATTAGAGTAAAAGATTAGAAAGCCAAAGAAGTGGTCATTTTTATGTGATTTTTATCATGAGCTGACTCGTCTCCTATCTTGGGATAACGACAATTTTGTATTTCTATCAGAACAAATCGGGTTTTTGTTTTAGATAATATGTTATTTGATAGAAACAACTTTGTTTTCTTGTGATCGCAAGATGATTGTGCAAAAATGAGTGTTTTTAAGTTACACTCAATTTTATGACACTTGGGGATGAGATATGACCTCAGGTGAAGTCATGCATGAGGACAGGGGGGGGTGTCCAGTCCTGGTCCTGGAGGGCCACCGTCCTGCATGTTTTAGAGGTCTCTCATGTTTTAGAGGTCTCTCTGCACCAGCACACTGGATTTGAACCAATGGCTGATTGGCAGACTTCTGTAGAAAAGAAGAGGTGGTTCATCCATCGAATCAGGTGCGTTGGAGCAGGAAACAGGTAAAACATGCAGGGTAGTGGCCCTCGGGGGCCAGGACTGGACACCTCTGCATGAGGACGAAGCTGGATGTTCTCTGACGGAACATTTTTCATCTTGAATCCAACGTTAAAAAGACTGTCCTGATCTCTGATGAAGAAGGAACCGAGGAGTTTGACATGTCAAAGTGATTTCCAAATCACATGAGAAAATGAACTTAAGTTAAAAAATAGATTATTCTATTATTATTATTATTATTGTTGTTGTTATTTTGATAATTTGAATACAAAAACATTTCGCTAAATCAGGAAAAAATGTGCAAAGACATGTAGCATTTGTAACTTTTATAGTTGTTTAATTATTTCACATTATTTACCAAAATGTTTCCCATAGATGTACGTTGAGATCACTTCAAGCTCTTTGTAAAAAAAATTTAAAAACTACTTCAGCACAGTTGCTTTAATTTTGTTTTCTTCTTGTAGCTTTAAGCTACCATCTTACTTATTTTAGCTTTTAGCAATGATTTAGCTAATTTTACCTTTAAGCAATAATGTTACTAGATTTTAGCTACTATTTTGCTGCATTTAGCTTTTAGTCAGTGTTATGCTGATTAGCTATATTTTT